TGGTATTCTTTCCCACTGGTATTCTTTCCCACTGGTATTCTTCATCTGCTGGTATTCTTCATCCACTGGTATTCTTTCCCAGCGGTATTCTTCATCCACTGGTATTCTTTCCCACTGGTATTCTTTCCCACTGGTATTCTTTCCCACTGGTATTTTTCATCTACTGGTATTCTTTCCCACTGGTATTCTTCATCTACTGGTATTCTTCATCCACTGGTATTCTTTCCCACTGGTATTCTTCATGCACTGGTATTCTTTCCCACTGGTATTCTTTCCCACTGGCATTCTTTCCCACTGGTATTCTTTCCCGCTGGTATTCTTTCCCGCTGGTATTCTTTCCCACTGGTATTCTTTGTCCACTGGCATTCTTTTTGGACAGTAACAGGTTTTAAAGATATTACTTAGAATTAAAAAAACTGAAAGGTAGTGTAATGATGTGACCTTTATGCAGAAAGTTATAAACTGTTTTAAAGACATAAGGAAGACTTAAGTAAGTGGATATATAAGCCCTGTTCAGGAGCAGGATGACTCAGGATGCACAAACGTCAGTCGTCCAGGGAATTCTACCAATTCAACGCCATTCAATCAACACCCAAATGAGAGTATTGTGGACACAGAAAACGACTGGAAAATGTATACAGCAGAGCTAAGGGTTGAGACCAGCCAAGACAATTCTCAGGAGAAACAAACTGAGGAGACATGAACTGAGGAGCGGGCTCAACGGCACTGTAGCTGTGTGGTGTGGGGGAGGCCGTGTGGCGTGGCCGTGGCCGTGTGGCGTGGCCGTGGCCATGTGGCGTGGGGGAGGCCATGTGGCGTGGGGGAGGCCGGGTGGTGTGGGGGCGGCTGTGGTGTGGGCGTGGCCATGTGGTGTGGGCGTGGCCGGGTGGTGTCGGCGCAGCCATGGGTGGGATGAGTGCTGCTGAGAATGGAGCCTCCACTCAGACCCTAAGGATGGAAGGCCAGAGAGATGCGGAGAAGCACTGCAGGGAGGACGGGCTGTCTGATGAAGGGTCTGGAGTGGCGTAAAGAAAAGATAAAAACTGGATCCCTACCTCACCACAGAGACAAAATGTGGTTCAGGAGGATATACTTAAGGCCTAAACATAAAAAAAGAACACTTTTAAATTTCAGAAGAAAATATAGGAGAATATGTTTAAGACATTGAGAAAAGGAAAAACCCAAGACGTGAAAGGCACAAGGTATAAAGAAAAAGAGAGACTAAAAGACTGAACTTGCGTGGTGCCGGAGGCGTTGTAAGTAAAGTCAGAGTAGACGCGTTTTCGATGGATGCATTCAGCCAGGAATCAGCACCTGGAATCGTCACGGACTCTTACAAACCACTAAAAGAAGGCAAGTCTGTAAGGCAGCTTGCATGTGGCTTACAGGAGAGGGAACACGGAAGGCCGATAACGTGAGCCCGGCCTCACTGCAACCAAGGGAAGTGCAAATTCATACCACACAAGACACCAGGGGCATCTATCACACAGGCAAAGCCAGCAAGGCCGGCGCGGGCAGGGTGCGGCAAGACGGCGGGTCCTGAGGAAGGCCTGGGCAACATCTACAAAAGCTGAGGGCTCGGGCACCCTACGTACGGCAGCTTTGCTCAGAGGCCAGGCGGCGACGCTGACGCACTCACCACACACGTGCCTCGTTAGGTGTACGGAGCACCTACTGTGCACCAGGCACTGGCTGTGGACAGGGTGCGAGGAGACAATGGTTGACAACGCCAGGTTCCTGTACGTGTGGCTCTCAAGCCCCAGGGGACAGAGACGGGTGGAGCCAAATGAACAAGTTACATGTATAGTGTGTCCACGGTCCACGTACAGTGTGTCCACAATCCACAGCCCACAGGAGAAAAATAAAGCAGGAGAAGGGAGCAGAGTCGGAGAGCAGCCAGAGAAGCCCGACCCCCGGCGGGGGCCTGCGGCTGGGGAGGCTTCTCAAAAGGTGCTGCCAGATGGGGTGGGAACAAGGGGGGAGCAGCCACCACACGCCCGAGAAGAGCTCCCTCACTGATGCCCGGGCTGGGGGCCGGATGGGCAAGGGCCCAGAAGAGCTGGGCGCAGTGAGGGAGGGCTGTGCTGGACGTGGGGCTCCAAGGTGGCAGAGGCTGAATTCTGAGTTTGCTTATTACAAAAAAGGAACAAAAAGGAAGAAGAAACTAGAACCTGCCTTCCTGTCCACCAGGAGGAGAGTGGATAATGGAGTCCTGGCAGAGCATGACAGTGAAACAAAACCTAGATGACCACCAGAGACACACGTCGACGTCAGAGCCAAAGAAAAGGCCTTTGTGGGCCACGCATCGTGCGACGGTAACAGGAGGTCAAGGCCTCTGAGCAGGTGCCATGCGTGTGCCGGGGCTCACGGCCAGAGAGGGAAAGTGTCACGTCGCCAGAGGGGATGGGACCGGAGCGGGCTCTGGGCTCTACCTCTGTTTGTAATTCCTTAAGCTGGAAACACACACACACACGCACGCACAGTGTTCTTATATAAGTCTCTGTAAATTTTTACATGGCTAAAATGTTCCTTAATATGAAAAAATTTCAAGTGAAGCGTGTAAGCCACTCTGGATGGTCAGAACCAGAGGAGAGGAGGCTCCTCTGGTTAAGCCCTAAACCTGTTACCTGCAGTGTGAAGATGAACACAGCTACACAGTAAGAAAGCACGGGCAGTGCTGCTTCTCCCGCTTTGCATCAGCAGTCCTGGCGGTGGAACCCAGGCACATGCCATTCACGGCTGAGCAAGAGACGAGTGTGACCCTGCCATCGAATCTCAATTTCCAGGCAGTGCTGTGTCAGGCTGCCGGGATGGAGGGAAAGCGCAGGGGACATTGGGTCTGTGGGCAGGGCGGGGACGACAGCCTCCAGCCTCCAGTCCCGACCAACATCAAGGCCCTCTGCCTCTCACTGCGGACACTCAGGGCAGGGCCTGTCCTGGGTCTGAGGGGAGGTGAGCAGCTCCCTGGCCCCACCTGTTCATTCCAGGAGCACCCCCACTGTGCCCTAGTTGTTCCTGGGGGGCAAAACCACCCCTGGTTGAGAACCATCATTCTGCATAACCGGGGGGAGGGGTTGTGGGGGTTGTTCAGCACCCATGAAGAACTCTCATCCATCTACAGAAGAAAGATGGAAGGTTCTGGCAGCCCTCCCACCCAGCCAAGCTGGCCAGCTCCGACGGCCCCGGAGCAGCCTGTAAAATACCATCCCGTAAAACAGCACCCATCCGAGCAGGGATTTCCACGCTCCCGCTTCCCCAGCAAAACGTGCTCATTTCCGCACAGTCCAGCTGACTTTCATTCTTGCTTTTGAACGGACAGTTTCGACACCCGCCGACCTGACGTGGACGCAGGTTCATGCTGCCGTGTGTGGGGAGGAGCCCCGGGGCCCCTTGGCAGCGGAAAGGCGCAGACTCACCGATGAGGGAGTTGAGGGAGGAGTAGGAGCTGGCGCGGCGCATCTTGTCGATGGTCTCGAAGGACAGGATGTGCTCCTCGTTCTCCGGGCTGCCCAGGGTGCTGCTGGCGCTGCTGCTGGTGCTGAGGTTTCCGGGGGAGAACGCTACGGCGCCGCCGGCTGGCCGAGACATGGTGGGGTCAGCGGGGTGCTCCTGGGACCCTCCTTTTGGTCTTACGGTTAATGGCATGACTGAGATATGAATTTTCTCCTAAATAAAGCTCAGTACATGCAGACACACACACACTCCGGCACACACATGCCCAGGCGCACACACGCCCTGGCGCACACACCCAGACGCACACACGCCCTGGCACGCACACACAGGCGCACACATACACACTGGCGCACACACACAGGCACACACACACACACACACCCGGGCGCACACA